TCTCGGTTAAATTATGATCTTTTTAAGAAAAACGTAGTAAGTTGTCCGATGTGTGAGTGTGGTGAAATGAGACAGTAAAGGATTTCTTTTTGGATTGTCAAAATTATTAGTAAAGTAGAACTATCTTGGAAAATGACTAGATTGCTGTAACAAACGGCAACTCTTCTCAGAGCCCGAAAAGAATCGAATAATTCGACATTCGGTTCGGTTCGATTCGGCTGCTTCCCGAACCGAACCGAATTTCATTTTCGAAACATGAATCAACCGCTCAGTTAAAACGGTTTGGTCAAGTTAAGCTACAGTGATATCGTATAAAGTAACAGAAGCACCATGGAAATAAATTTAGTCCTTTTTTTTTCTCTTATAACGCTCAGAAGCGTATAATCGCATTAGAAAGAGGAACATATAACATCTTTTACCGAGCTTTTAAGATATCTAATCAAATTCATTTTGAAAGATAGAATTTTTGAGAGCACCAGAATGAATATCACACATAACCTCTCTCAAGGTTAGATCCATCGACTATCAACAACATATTATTTTTACGTTCAATCGAAAATAATAAATGAAGAAGATTAATCATGCTAACAAGACATTTCTTGTTTATATGCATCTTGTTTGTTTTGCTTTATTTCATGTTTCAAAGTTATAGTCACATAAATGCTATGTTAGTTTTTAGTTTAATCTATATTTTATTAGTCAGCTGAAATACGCATCACAGATAATCGGGAATCGCAAAGCATTGTACCTGGCTATCTGAAGAAATGCAACACAGACAAATGGAATAACGACAAAAAATAAAAACTATCATTTAAAAAAAACAAAAATGCTATGTTCTTCTCAAGTGTTCCAAGTCGAGGTAATATATCTTAAAAAAACGTTTGGAAACAAAAGAGAAAAACGCCTTACTTTTCATTGAACTGACCCGAATCGAATCGAACCGATTCAGGATTTGAAACTGTTGTCCCGAATCGAACCGAACCGAATCAGGAAATCTTGATTCGTTTCGGGCTCTGACGCTTATACTTTAGAACACATTCGTCTTCTAAAACCCTTAGTTCCCTTAAATGCAGACGAGATTTGTAAACTGTATAATATTGTAATAACCTACATTGAAGGCACACAGTGTTTTTAAATTTATACTCTCACCTCCTCATAGGCTTAGTTGCATTTTTGTCTATGTTTGATGTAATTAACTTACTTCTTTTTTGTTTGTCTTTAGTCTCTTCATCAGCGATTTAAAAGTTAAAATGGGTTTCCCTCCTTCTCCTCATCGTTGTATCAACTTTTTGTTCTCTTTCTATCTTTAATAAAGTTTATACTAAGATCAACTGAAAGTTCAAGACGTATGTAATTGAAAGAGCATAAGATCATCTTACACTTGACATTACATTATAACACTTTTGAAATCAGAAATATTTTTCTAGATTTTTTCTGCATTCAGTTTTGGAAGAATGCAGAAAAACCGAAAACTACTTTAACTATAGTAATGCTACGACGATGAATCTTGTTTTTGTTCAAAGAGGAAATCTAGATGTACGTAAAACAGGTTATTATGTGGCAAATGGTCATATAAAACAAGAACACAGCATTATTTATTGTATGCGGAGGCTAGATGAATCGCGATAGTCTTTATTTTAGCTCTGTTTTATGCTAACAGGCTATTTGCTGCAGGCTCTTAACTGACTTCTAAAGCATTAAACCTGACGATTTTAAGGGTACACCCACAGACACTACAGACACAGCTCCACAGACATCCACTGTCTGTGGAGCTGCTTTGGGTTGTCTGTGGATGTGCGTAGGTGTCTTCATATTCTATCGTTACTCCTCTTTTTTTTACCCTCTTGGAAACTAGGGAAGCCTATGTCAGGTCTGATTCTAACTTATATCAGAGATACAACATCGAAAAAGAAAATTGATGTATTTTTGCCCAGAATTTTCTGGCGTGTTCTCCTATAGGTTTTCTGGAAAACTCCAGTTTTCATCTAGTCACATTACGACCCCTCGAAAAAATTGTCCGACCTCAAAATCTTGCCACAGATACTTCAGGCCCTATCTCAGGTTCGTCTTTTTTGGAAAATATTCTTTCCTTCGAGATATCCGAAAAATACTGAAAATCCCATATAAAAAAACGATTTTTCATTTTGTAAACCTTCTCACGTCGAAAGTTGAAATCGAAAACGCTTTTAAAAAGAAATGAACCACAGATAGGGTTTTAAGTATCTGTGGTAAAATTTTGGGCTCGATCGGATCATTTTTTCGAGGGATCGGAATGTGAGGGGATTGAAGGGACTAGCGAAAAAACGCGTGGTTAGAAAAACACATATTGTACACAGAACTCTGTTTTTTAGGGCATTTGCGGCTATGCTTATATCTCTTAGAAAGCTCATCGGACAATTCTGGAATACATTTTATTTTCAAGAGCACACTTTCTTCCATCATGCTATGTATTAGAAAGGGTTTTGAGTATATAGGAAAGGAGAGAAAAATTTACGAACCTAAAAGATTGAGGGTTTCTAGGCTTTGAAGGAAAAACTTAAGACTTTGGTAATTTTTTCAAGGACCACTTTTCAAGGAAGGTCGTGAAGAGCTGGGAGTGGTCTCTTTTTATGTTCCAGACTTTCCTCTACATTAGACTATGTTCAGCTCAAAATGACCACTTTTCTGCAAAAATGAGGGACGGGGGCACCTTAAGATATAACCCTAAGAGAAAGTCATAGAAAATACGTTTCTTACATCGCAAGCGTTTTTACAAGAGGTGCAAATAGAGGTGTTAGCCGATCGTTTGATCGGCGGCGGCGGCGACAAAATTTTTTGTATGCTATTTCACAAGGTCTTTCGGGGGCCCCTACCGTTAGTGCAAACATTAGACTTTGTGTTCTCACAGAATTATAACGCTGTCTTCCTCTTAGTACCCTCATGTAGTACGCTCATTCCTATTTTTTGAACGTTCTGTTGGTTTCAGCAACCTCTATTTGTCACACAGATCAAAACTGAAATATTGCTGATCATTATCAACAAGTGATAATTTAGAAAAAGAGGAAGCTTGAAATGTGGCCTTTGGCTCGATCGCCGGCGGCGGCGGAAAAGTTCCCGTCGAGACATCCTATTCGGCGGCGGCGGCAAAAATCGGCGGCTAATACCTCTAGGTGCAAAGCTTACATATAATACTAGCAGATTTCTTCTCTCGAGAAAACCGAGTTTGACTCTTACGACTGCCGATGCGGATTTTTCAAAAGTGTTATGATTTAATGTCAAGTGTAAGATGATCTTATGCTCTTTCATTTATATACATCTTGAACTTTCAGTTAATCTTTTAAAATAAAACATATGTATTCAACCATATATGAAAAAAGTAACGTTTTTGTTTGTTCTCGAACAAGAACATACATTATCAAATTTTCTTTTATTATGGTGCAGATATTGAATACAATTAAAAATCGTACTCTTTGTTATAGTCTTGTAATTACAACTGTCTGTATAATTTTCTTTGGAATTGGTATTATTATTGGGCATTTTGCAATTCTTCAATCGTCCACGAAAGTGATAAACAGTCAAAATGAGTGGAAGACAAAAGCAAATGATGAATCATTGGAGAAAGATTATTTTGTAAATTTTGTAGAAAAGTTCTTACGTTCAGTCGATCGAAATAAAATACGACAAAACCTCGAGTGAGTGCATAATACCTAGTGTGCTTCAGAGATCAGCTCGGATCGGACCCGGTTTGAACCGCAAAGCATTTTGGTCGGGTTGGACCCGACCGAACTTAGAACTGCGTGGATTTGTAATTTATCTGTCTACTCAGTACCGAGAAATCATAAAAATATTAATATTAGTTTGCGAAATACATTTACTCCGCTTAGCCAGCAAAAGCATTACAGATGCAAGAAGAAAATCACGCAAAGTAATCGGACAGAGCCGGGCCGGGACAGGAAAGTTTCAGGATTGGTCGGGTCGGGTATGATAAATCCTACGCTAAGTCGGATCAAGCAGGGCTTGGTCCGGAAGCTTTCCTCATCGGGCTGGGGCAAAATTTTCGATCCGTGCAGATCTCTGGTGTACTATAGTATTACTGAGAGCTTCCAGCCATAGTAATTGCAGATGATAGAACGTTGACAGTGATTGAAGGTGATTATGTTGTTCGTCACATACTTCAAATGTGCTATGCTTCGAACCTCCGCATCACCAGGTCGCAAATGGTTATGGAATTCGTGTCTCAGTGTCTTGTAATATACATCCGACAGCATACTTACTACGGTTTAACGTACAACAAAGACCGAATTCGGTCTTAGGCGGATAATCCGAACCCGACTCGACCCGAAGACTTTTTTACCCGATCCCACCCGAAGTGGTACGAAATTTTTGAAACTTGACCCGAAAATTTTCTTAGGTGACCTAATAAATTTTTCTGGAAAAAGAGCAGAAGCCTATAGCTTTTGTAGTAGCCTAGAACGTTTCTCTGATTTTTTGTCCAAGTAGTCGTTCATTTGAATCGTGATAACTCGAAACAGGAAATCTTTCTCGATCGTATATTATCATGAAGTTTATTCATCATAATGTGACGCATATTTAAGGCGTTCGTTTTTCTGGATTTATGTTTCCTTTTTTTCTTGTCTTTCTTTGCTTCAACAGTGCGATACTGTACAATGTACAGTGTATATTACACAGCGTCAAAGCAGAAAGGAAGAAAAATTGTACTTCTTATCCCGATAAAAAAAGTACATGTTGAAAAATAGATGAGTGAACCTAATCGAAGAAAATTCCCTGATTTATTTTCAAGTGACAAGACCTGAATAAAACCCGAAAATTTTTTTTCTGTTGACTCGACCCAAATCAATATGTTTTACCTCAACCCGAACCGGACCCGACACAATGGGAACAGACCCGACCCGATTCGGTTTCTAACGTACAACATATTTCCTTCGGTTAGTCTTCATGATTCTTTAGAATGAGCTGGTACTTGGTTGATGAGTGCATATGGTGAACTTGAATGTTTGGGAACTGAGCTCAGTCCACCGCAGTTCATGCCTGCCAACGTATGGGCGGAGCTTGTTAACTGTAGAGAAAATTTTGGGCTATTGAAACTGACACTTGTTAGCAACCTGTACTGATAGTGGAAGCCGCACGACGGCTCGGAATATTCTTTCAGAAATTTGAAAATGATTCTCATTATTCATTTTTGAAAATTAAAGCAAATTTTTCACAATACCATCGAGTATTAGAGGTAAGAAATTTTACATAGATAGGTCGTCTGTTTTAGGTATTATTCTCAACGCACACATTTGGCTGGCACGGACGACGATTACAAAGAAGCCCTTTACATTTCACAGAAATGGCGTGACGATGGACTTAGTGTAACAATTCATCCATATCAAGGCTTATTATCCTATCCACATCAAACACAGCCAAATATGTAAATCAATGTAGAGCAATCTTGTATTTTTAATCGAAAAATGTATTGACTAATTCTGCAGCTGAGATAAATGTCTAAGATTAAAGACATAGTGCCAAATCCTATAGATGTACATATTTTTACTATCATTTATTCTAGTTACAAGATTTGCCGACTTAATCAATTGGGTCGAATATTATACCTATCAAATCTATTTTACCTATTCTTTATTTTTATTATTTAGAGTATCGATTTTCAATGGGAATGGTGATATCATATATCGCACAAATGGTTCTGAATTGACGTATTCACAAGACGAACATCTTCCTGTAAAACAAATAGTTAAACCATTCTTAGCTTTTACTCCAAATGGCACTGTTCAGAGTGTAATATACAAGCATTTTGGCTTATTAAACCTGTTTATGAATAAATTGTTTTTAATATAGAGAAAATTGTACTACGTAAATTACTGTTCATTGGATGATTTTGCAAAATTGAAAACAATAGTCGATGCAAAGGATCTGTTGGACAGTATTATAATATGCCGCTTTGGCAAGATTTTTCGGGGGAATAAAGTGAGTCGATGGTTTTATTGATATATGCTGTGCAATCACCTAGATAGTTAACTCTATATCTTGAGACAGTTAATAATTAGATATATTCGAACGTCAGATTTTGAAGTCTAATTCTTAATGAATAAAACTAGTTATTGATCAAACGCTTTAAAATGAGCAAGATCTTCATTTTTATGGATGAGGGTTGCTTGCCGATTAAAAATATTTGAAGTTAACAACGTTGAAGTTGACAACGTCAACTAATCAGATATCGTTGACAGTTCACGTTCTAATATTTGCTAAAGCCACGTAAACGGCTACATTCGTATTCTTGACAATGCAGTAAGACATGCAGTTATTACGAAACAACTTTAGTGGTAAAGTCACGCGGGTTGAACCCGACCCTAATCCTCAAACCAGATCAAAGAGTTCACAGAAAACTTCACTAACGTCTACCATTATATTCAGGGAATAAACAGAACAGAAAATCTTGTTTCCTAATTCATAGAAAGTTTATGATAAAAAAAATTAAGCTGTTGATTTGTACTGCGAAACCGCGAACACGATCCCGACGCGTCTGAGAATCGGGTTCAATCTCGCTCATCAATAACTTCTCATTACAAATAAATAGCGCCTCTCTCAAAAAATGTCATCAGGCGGCTCATTCTCATGCCTGATGCTTCGTCCTGCTGTTTTCGTTGACAGATAGTATGGAAGCTGTCCTTCTTTATAAACACAGAAGTATTTGGAATTGGAAGCCTGTCTGCGAAAGCATCCAGCCATGCCCGCGCCACTAAAATCATCATCACGTTGAGTTAGCCTTTGCTTCTTATCTGTTCACTGGAACAAAAACTGTACAAGTGGAAGAGGACGCTACTGACTAAAAATTCTTTTTGGTATTGGGCAAGACCGGACGGTTTCCATCGTCTTGAACAGGTTGGATTCGTACCCGTAAAGGTCAGACTCACAGGACTCTAAACAGTGGGCTGCTTTTAAGGAAGACACTGGAGCTTCAATGAATAATAAATCATTATTATATATAGGTTCAATTCGCAGAACAACACGGTGCAATTGGAGTCATTTTGTTCAGTGATCCAGTAGATTTTGCACCCTTAGGAACCACAGACGAAAGAGTTTATCCAAATTCATTTTATATGCCAGATATGGGTATACAACGTGGCTCAGCTTATTTGGGAAGTGGTGACATTTTAACACAGAATTATCCGGCAACGGGTAGGTTCATTTATAATTATGAATATATATTGATCTTCTCGAAAAATCTTTTCGAAAAATAAATGTTTGTTTCTAAAGAGTATATGTATCGAGAGTCACTTGAAAATAATACAAAATTGTCTCGTATTCCGGCTCAGCAAATTGGATACAGAGAAGCGAGAGAAATTTTGAGGTACGTAGACGAATTTGACAATATTGATGCACTAATTGATAAAATGTCATTATTTCAGATATATGACTGGCCAGAATGTTGACCCTTCGTGGACAGGAAAGTTATCTGGTACAAATTATTTGTATGGGGGTAATTTGCAGAGTAATTTGTAAGTATCGGTACGTATGAGTTAAATTAATATGAAGAATTGTCTCTGAATCTATTCTTGTTTACATCATAACTTGAATCACTTAGCGGCTTGTCCAAACATCGTTTTTTCCACACTATTTCTTGATTTTCTCAGCCACGGTACCTGATAGAGTGTTCGTTCTGATATCATTTTGTGTGCCTATCTCTTTCCAATCAACGATAGGAGGGAGAACTAAACCGGTTTTGAAACTTGATTTCTATAGACAAAACAAAGAGCATGATGCGGTTACGAAAGGCCCTTTGTCAGATAGTTGTAAGGGTTTTTAGAAAGTTTCCCAAAATGAATGATAAAAAGTTTTTCTTTCAGCTTAATCGACGGGCTATCCGATCGTAAAATAGTTATTCTTAACTCAATTTTGCAGGCGCAGAATAATCATTTTCCTTTCGTAACACTATTACGCAGAAATTTTTGAGCTTATCGGCTATGGCTCTCTTGCCAAAGTGCACACCACAAAACTCGAGTTTTTACCTTTCTGTGCAGTTTATCATATATGTACGGCATTTAACTGGAAATAAAAAAAATAATTTTCGAGCTTTTAAAAAGCATTTCACAAAAATGCTCGTTTTTCTAGTTATAAAAAACATAAAATGCTTATAAAATTTGTTATCTGCGTCTAAACTCCAAGCAAAACGAGAATAGTCGACTATAACCAGAGATATCGATTTCGAGATAAGAGCATGGTCAAGCAACCTGGAGTGTGCACTTTCAGAATCCATATCGGTTTCTTTATGACTTTCGAACAATTTTTCTACGGGCTTCGTAAATAGCACGTTCAACCGTTAATTTTTCGCATAATAAACAGAGTGGAAACATTTCCTCATCACACTTTAACACTTCGCCTTTCTCTGAAGTTTTTGGAAAAATCTGATTGACGATTAACGAAATAGCTTTTCCAGAGGAAGGTTTAACGTAAACATTAGACATATATATCACAAACGTTATCTAAATGTGTTCATAGATCGATTCAAGTTTCAACGCATAACAGTTTCCAAATTCGAACGATTCATAATGTTCGGTATCATACCAGGCAGCAGAGAACCAGGTAAGAAATGTCTTTTTCTCTTTACACGTATATGTTATATTGATTTTGTTCTCCATTTAGATCGATACGTTATAGTTGGAAATCATTTTGACTCTTGGACATTTGGAAGTATTGATGATGGATCCGGAATGGCGATTAGTTTTGAATTAGTGCGCATATTTGGAATATGGTTGAAAGCAGGTAATTTTTACACCTGAACATTCATCTTATTACCAAGGCGTATTTACTAAATGATCATTATGAAGTTTAGGTTGGAGACCAAAACGAAGTATTGTTTTCTGCGCATTTGGAGCAGAGGAATATAGTACGATTGGCTCAATGGAATGGGTTCAGGTAGCGAAATCCTCATTTTAACTATTCTTTACTACTATTTGAGTATAACAAATATCGAGATATGTCAACTGAATATGAATTATTCTTCCGCTTCAAAATAGATATCATTATCTATGCACTGAAATATCAGTACTTTTGACAGGGTATTTATTTTTCGATATAATAAACGACATTAATTACGGAACTAAAACACTATACTTCGGTACTAAATTCAGCAGAATCCGATACCGCAGTCTTTTTCGCCATGCATCTACATAACTCAATGTCTCTTTTAATTCATTTGCATATCGCTACATATGCATCTAGATATCTGGGCTTTTGTCAACGTATCGAGTGATGCTCTGATTTAAATGTTGAATTGCTTTATCATTTTCTTTCCCACGCATCGGCATTTGTAGAACGTAAATTTCATCGATTGACATTAAACTAACTCGGTATATCTGACTAAGTCAACTAGATTGCAATGATGCTGCGCAGGACTGTAAATGCGGTACTTAAGTACGGTTACATAGACTGATATAGAAACAATGGAGTTTCATTGAGTCTTTACACTGTAGATAAACTGTGACACACGTAAGAATTAATTATTTATCTTTTTGCGGTTAATTATAAGCTGATGTTATTGCTAATTGACACTCATGTTACTTATTGTGATAATAAAACCGACGTTCACACATTATTAAAACGATGACTCATATTAACAGCTGACTGTCGACCAGTCATTTTTAAAGCCTAATGTAATCTTGGCGCCTGTATAATATGTGAAGAAACTGATTGTGAAACTGTCGTTTTTTTTCTAAAATCACCGGTATTCACTGTCTTATACAGAATGAACGAAGCAACAGATAGATCTGAACGGGGAACATTTCATCTCTCACAGTGTGAGAATGTCAGAACTTTTCAACCGAAGGCAATTAGTAATGCACATCACTAGAAAATAATTACAGAAGATCCCCGAAACGCGAGCAACCCAGAAAGAACAAAAAAAACAGACGAATTACTGTGATGCAGTAGCTTACGCGTCACATTAATTATGTTGACTCTTTTCCCCAAATGTTCTTGTCAAAGAATTGATCAATGTTGCCGCAAGAGTATCTAGATATTTTAGCTAAATCTATCCAAGTGATACCTTCCGATTTCCTTCGTTCATACGTCGATTGATAGAGGGTATCGAGCTAGCACAAAGCCTAAAAGAATTTTCACTCATGACTCTTGAAGACCCAATTTGCTGGAAAACCAGTTTTTCAGAAACTCTAAAAAATAACTGAAACCTTTCTTACTAAACATAGTTGTAGCCCGGAAAATTCTGATTAAAATGAGACATCTTTCAGCTCTACATGACCTTTTTTTGCAAAGTTGTAGAATTCACAAGAAAAGCCCTAAATGTTCATTGTCAGCTCAAAGCTACAAAAATAAGAAAAAATGAATTTAGGGCTTTTTTGTGAATTCTATAACTTTGCAAAGGAAGGTCATGTAGAGGTGGAAGATATCTCATTTTCATCATAAATTTGCGGGCTACAATTATGGCTCGTTAAGAAAGGTTCTGGTTACTTTTTCGAGTTTCTAAGAAACGGGTTTTTCAGAAAACCGAGACTTCAAGAGTCATGGGGAAAATCTTTTTAGCCTTTTTACTAGCTCGATACCCTCTATCGATCGCCGCATGAACGAACAAAATTGGAAGGCATCACTTGGATAGTTTTCTTCGTAAGTAATTACTTGAATAACAACGTACTTATTCACAGGAATACACAAAAATATTAGGCTCACGAGTGGTGTCATATATAAATATGGATGTCACTGTCGAAGGTATGCACTAGCATCTAGCTCTTTTCTTTTTGTCACATTTTAATTAACATTCATATTGTATTTAGGTAGTTATGTGTTAATAGCAAAAATGTCACCATTATTGTATGATCTTGTTATTGATACGGCAAAAAAAGTTTGTTTTTCAAATGAAGTTTTATCGATTTAAATGTAAAAATATGAAATTTATTCGCAGGTTAAAGCAGCTTATGTCAATGAAACAATTTATCAACAATGGCTGCGTCTTGCGGGAACAAATGATATTAATAAGTTTTTGTAGATATTAAATTCACATCCATTAATCGTTGATCGTTAACAATATGGTTGTTGTAGGACTGTGGGACTCGGCTCTGGTAGTGATTTTCATGCTTTCAATCAATTAGTTGGCTCTTCAAATATTGACATGTCATACACGTTTGATAAAGTACAAAGAACGAAATATATTCTTCACGATACATTTAAACTATAGAATTTTCTTTGCTTTTGAAGAGTACATCACACGGTATGGCCAGCTATCCGTTATATCATACACAATATGAAACATTTGACATGGTAAAAAATTTTATAGATGTCAATTTTGAGGTAAGATGTTTTTGTTTGGGTACAATGTCGTTTAAAAAGAATCTTATGCTAGGCACATGAAGCTATTGCACGAATGATAGCTTCATTAACACTTCGCCTTTCTCAAACATCTTTACTTCCATTTAATCCTGTTGGATACTATCGTGCATTATCAAATGTGTTAAAGAATACAATGAATAACATTTCAATAGAAGCAAATTTCAGTAATGAACACTATGTATATATGTACTCTGTAAACTTCATTTTACTGATTATTGTTTTAGCTAATTTGCAAAACGCTGTTGAAGATTTTAAACGGATAGCAGAAAAGTTTAATGCGAGAGTAACAAACATAGATAAAAAAAAGTATACTCAAGTTATTGATCTAAGAAGTAAATTGATTTTTTTAATTTCATCTTATTTTATAGTTCATTGGCAGTGCGTCTAGTGAACGATCAATTATTACAATTGGAGCGAGCGTTTATTAATCCTCTAGGAAATAGTGTAGATCGTCCAGATTTAAAGTAAATAAGTAACATTATTTACTATTATATATTTTATTATATTTGTATTATTTGTTTTAGACATATTGTTTATGGACCAAGTCGAAACAATAAATATGGCGCAAAAGGTTTTCCAGTTATAGCTGATAGTATCGAAGACAGAAATCTTGATAACATTCGACGAGAAATTGCATATGTAACATATTTTGTGCGTTCAGCTATCTCAGTTCTTCAAGAAACAACAATATTTCAAACTACTGCATAATCTTTTCGGTAATTCTTTAATGAGCAATTATTTATCGAACAATAACTAATTTTATATAAAGTAAATCAAATTTTGATTTACATTTGGCTTCAATTTTCCTACATTCAGCGCGAAACAGTATACAGTACTTTAAACAAGATACTGTCGTGTATAATAATGATGAGTCAGTATCACTGACAAACCTGTACTACTATGATTTCAAAGTACAGTGCCATTCCAGTGTGAAGGTTTTTATTGAAGACCGCCGATATACCGTGGCTCTCATAAAAACCTTCGATTACTGCGATGTATTTTAAAACTGCACGGTAACTAGATGGTATGCTTCACATCGCGGTATTGTGAGGGAATATCACTCAGTATCAAATTTTTCGTTTTGTGTTTTGCGGTTAGACAAGTATATAAGGCAACAAAAATTTAAAGAACCATCGGATTTCCTTCTATGACTCATTGCAATGCGTAAACTTTAACTCGAGTTGCACAATATGACAGTCTTCGAACAACTGTCATCTCTGATTGTCGGCTAGCGATGTGCAATCTACCCGGGTCGAAGGTTGGGTACGGATACGAAGCTGTCGGATACGGGTTTCATTTTTTGAAATTTATCCGAAATCTGGAAGGTTTTAGTGGAACTACTGTAGTTTTTTACGTGTATTTTCTGAAAAGATATACGATTTTAGCTAAAATACATTAAGTTACTTGAGATCGAAAAGAAGAACATTTTTGGGCATAAGTCGGGGACGGATACAGAGTTCTTGGATACGGGTCGAAAAACGTTACTCGTGCACATCTCTGTTGTCCGTCAGAATGAAACTGAAAAATTATCAGCAATATTCCTTTTTAACCGGCAGTATTTTAAAAATACCGTGCAGTTGACTATCAATATACCGCACGATATTTTCTTTTAAAGATTAATCGACGGTAGTTTGCCGGCATCCAGCGCATGAGATTCCCTTTTTACGAATAATTTATCAAAAGAAAACATAGTAAGTACAGTAAGAAAGAAAAAAGTGTTAAGTACGCCACCAAGTACCCTCTTTTGTGTCGGTAATAGATCGTTTTTGCCATTTGAAGACAAAACATGCACAAGTTTCGCTGCTTGGGTCTTCATTAATTAGTGGACAGAATGATACAATATGAGCTGTTCTTTGATGACGAGGACATTTATGGATATGTATACCTTCGTTTTTGTTCATTTGTATACCAATCAATAGAGGGTATCAGGGCGTTAAAAAGACTAAGAAAGTTCTTCCATCATGAATTGTTTTAGCTAATGAAGAAAAATGATTCATGATAGGCTTAATTTTATTACAAACACCCAACGCCTTTACTGCTGAAAATATCGAAATTGTATTTTGAGGAAGAGTTTAAGATAACTTAAATTTATATTCAGAATTCTGGATAGGCTTAGAATTTGACAAATGACCACTAGTTACAGATTATATTTTTGACGTTGCTAAAAAATCCGTAAACATTACAGTTATAATTCTTCAGTTAAAAACTGAAAATGGTGCATGCCTACGGTCAGAAATCTCGCAAATGAATGGAAAAATAGATTTTTGACACTGCTGGGACCGTACGCTCTTCTAATATAAACTGCTCGTGTTCTAGAGCCTAGATCTAACGAAAAGAATCATAATGTAGCTTATATCAATAAACAAAATAGCTGCAGAAAAAAACATTTTTTCTTGTCACTCCTCCCGAATGGGTCAAAGATGACCCATGTTGCCCTGAAGGATGCTGCTTCCACATCTCTGATCAAGAAGTCTGTAAACGCTTTCCTGCAAATAGATGACGCCCATAGCAGTATATATCAACCGCCCGAATACAAAAGTAATCAATCTGTGTAAGTGAAAAAACACTTAAAAAATCAAAGTCACTTTTTTGAAAATTCATCGTTTTCAGACTCAGATATCTTAGCCAAGAAGTGATGAAAAATAAAAGTTATTTTTTACCAATCTATAGCTTAGTAAATTCTCTACACAACGTTCATAAAGCTTCTTGATTCGATACTTTGTTACTCCACTACATCATTTCTACGAATAGGTCGAAAATGACCCTAGCGGAGGTCAAGGGTTAATAATAGAAAGTTCCATAACTTGTGAAGCGAGAGTGATGGAATGCTGAAACTTTCAGTGTATATAATAGACGTGCTAGTACTATGTCTAGCGAAAAGTTCAGCTCGCTCCTCCTTTTCTGGATAGAGATGTGAGTTTTTCTAATTTTGCTACTGGAAAAGCAGAAAAGTTGCCGTGGAAATGAATCCTCACAGGCTTTTTACGACCACAACTCTCTCTATCAATTAGTGTATAAATGAATTAAAACAGAGCTATACATGTCTATAGATTTCCTCGTGAGCCTAATAATGAGTACTTCAAAAGCCGGTTAATAATGGCATACCACAATAATTCGGCATTAAAAATGGAACTTAAAAATGTATTTTACGAGTTTATAGCCTAGCACTTAGCCTGCCAGAAGACTTATGTTACGGAAGATTCAAAAACCGGACCTCATCTCAAAAAGCTATCTAGCTTTTGTGTGAAGAGATGGTACCATGTGACATATGCCATTGGAATCGCCTCGATTCATACAACAAAAGTATGATTTTGGATTTTTTGAAATTCCTCTCCCTTGCTCAGAAATTTCACTTTTTCTAAATCAGGAGCGGAAAAATCGGAATTGTCTCAATTTTCCCTAGCAGAACTCACTTTTCATGCAATAAAAGCTACTTGTTTTTGGAGACAGCATTGAACTGAGTCGAATGATATATGTTTTGAAAGTTTTTGTTGATTTTCGTTTTTTGGTGAAAATCTCAGTGGCACACCGTTTAGCGAGTATCTAGGCGTCCATATATATGCATAGATATAATATAATACATGACAGTAACACCCATACATGCCAATACGTTCTATATTTACAAGTATAGATGCGTGATGATAGAAGAATCGCAGATTCGCCTGGAGCAGATCACCATTAGGGGATTTTGAGGATCCCAGAATTATAGCATTCGAGAATTGAAGGATTCGAGGAATCCAAGATTCACAAGCAAAGAATCTGTCTGTAATGAAAGATGAACAAGAAATTTTATTTAGTTTAGGAACAATATTCGAAAATTTGTCAGTTATATATGATGAACAATTAAAAGTATGGAAAATGAGAATGATAATAACATATGATAATTTAAAAATTTTTGAAGATTTTTTAAATTTATAACGAAATGGAATGAACGATTATAGTTCAATATTGTTTTGGTCGTCTATTACTGTTTGAATGTGGAACAAAAACTTTTTTTTATTTTAAACAATACGTTTGGACATAGATATCATATTTCGATTATTCTGTATTTTTTGGCTACAACGAAAGCAGAAGAAAGAGCCAAGAAAAGTTTTTTTTTCTAGTCACAATTAATTTAACTTTTGATTAAAAATTTCAATTAGTTATAATTATCAACGTGGGTTGACAATTATTGCTCCAGTTGATAGTACTTCTCCTACTTTTTACGAAATTTTTATTTTCTTTGCGTCACATAATAGGATTGTAAAATGAAAGAAAACAAAAACTGTTTGTACAATTTTTAACTCTGTGATTTCACGGTGAATATACTATGGTATAATCGTTCACTATATCTATATTTATATATATATATATATATATATATATATACCATCATAAAAGAATCTTTGTAGTGTGGACTGTTGAGAGCTTTTTTGACGTTACTTCTTTGTTCTTGTGCTTTCATATTTTGACTATCCATTCTGTACGAAAACTAAACCGAACTCAAGGAAAAATTTCAATTTAAAATGTATGCTGACGATACTGAATCAAATATGAATTCAGATATTGAAGTAATTAGCTCGCCAAAAGGTGCTAGTGGTCGAACACGTGACGAGATACGAGCACATGTTAATAATTATGGTTAAGCTAATACAGTTGGGCAAATAAAATGCAAATGTAAATATTGTGATATTACCTTTCAATATACAAAATTACCGATGATGTATCGGCAAATCTCACATGAATGTGAACAAATATCAGGTATCAATCCAAATGGTCTGAAAGAAATACTTTTCAAGTTAAACAGTACTACCACTGATATTAATAACAGTAAACGTCTGAAAACCAATCATTTAACATCAACAGCACCATCGACATATTCTAAATCATTAATAACCACGACACCAAAATGCAGTAAACAACTCAACATGGATTAATTCGGCACATGTGCTATTTTCCCAAGTGAAAAACAATCAATCGATCAAACATTAGTTCGAGCATTTGTTATGAATGAAAGGTGATTTATGACTATTGATAATATTTTTTTCAAAGAATTTTTACTTAAATTAACTTCTGTGTACGCTCCACCAGATAAAAAAGAACTATCTCGTGATTTGTTGATACAAGAATTAGTTAATGTTGAAACAAGAAATAATGATTTGTTGAATGAATTTGAGCATCTTACATTAAACGTTGACGATTGGACAATTCATGCTGGACGTTCATTATATGAGTTTAATCCAATCACTGAATCTAGAAAATGTATCCTTCTATCATTAAAAGATCTTACACTCTCATACGGCGATATTTCTGAACGATGAATTAGAAAGTGTACTAATAATAACGGGTGGCGCAGAATAAATTAGACTGTTAGTATTTTCAGTATTTCTCCTCTATTTTCCATTTGATCGAAACAGATTTTTTTATCAAAAGATAGCCCTTCAAAAACTGCACAAAACCATGTATAACTGAGTCCAACAACTATTTTAGATATATTTGAAAAAGGATGAAAAGTAAAGATGAACCTATAATTTTGGCCAGTACTGTAAACTTTACAAACTTTCGTAGTAATCAACTCTATGCTCCCAGTCAAGTTGACTGGGAGCATAGAGTTGATTGCTACGACTTCCAGCTACACCTGTACAAGTTATTAGTCAGACAGTTCTGTTACCCGATGAAAATGTTTGAATACGGTTATACCAGATGTACCTAGCTCCACTTGAATCTCCCACTTCGTATTTTATAACTGAACGTCCGGCGTCATTTGTTATACACATTGTATTTGAGAGACTATCAAAATAGATGCCACTTGGACCATTTAATTGATTAGCATTATTTCTTGGACCATTATCTCCGGCAACTACAGTTCCATAATCGCCTCCTGCGGTCAGTCATCAAGCAGGTTTAGGAAAAGGGAAGAGAGAGTGTTAACCAGGACCGGACAAATCCACGCAAGGAGATAAACAGGTTTCGGACATCCGAAACAGGGAAGGGCAACTTCAAGTCTGATTCCGTTCTTTTATGTGCATTTGAGATACATATAAACAAGCAGCACTTGTTGTTGTCTACGACAATAGACTGCAAGAGTATCAGTATATTTATCGTTGTTCCTCTGATACTACAGTAGTCTGTGGTGTATGCGTGTAAGCTTTAGTTCCTCCGATCGTTCCAAGGTTCTCCAATATTCTGGTCGAACAGGAATATTTAATAACATCATCTAAAAATACATACGAAATGAGAGGGCACTGCTGGCATCGAGGTATATTCATACTTACATGCTGTCGAATTTAGTGTGTGTGCAAAACAACGCAATGAAAGAATGTGTTGATTACTCGGGTGTGCTATAAATAAATCACGCATATTCTTCATGACGTTTGGATTATCGTTGACAATGGCTCGAATTTTTGAATTAACATCACAATTTACTGATACTAACGGGTGGCGCAGAATAAATTAGACTGTTAGTATTTTCAGTATTTCTCCTGTACTTTCCATTTGATCGAAACATATTTTTTTATCAAAAGATAGCCCTTCAAATTCTGCACACAATGGTCTCCTTTATTTAACGAATATAGTTTCCTCCATTTTTCTGGATCGAACGTAATCGCACCGTAAAATCCCGTACAGAAAGTAAAATTTTTTCTTTTTCAACTTTTTTGATGGAACGTTTTATTTCGTCGACCAGTGCTG